CCATTATTTCAACGAAATATGTGAACGATTTTTTAAGTTGTTAACAGATGTAACTTTTAAATGAACCAAAATCATAAAGAATCATAATATGAAGCAATAAACTGAAAAAATGAAAATATATTGCAAAGTAATAAAATTAACTTAAAAAAAGTTTGCCATAAGGTTACTATGGTTTCAATATTATTCACGCATAATTAAAAGTCACTTGAATAAGAAAAATACCATAAATTTAAAATAAACAAATTGCTCCTATATTTTAAACATTTCATATTTGTATTCTGCAATCTTTCTGCCCTAAAATGTCCCTTGTCATTTCCAGCTCTCGTAGCGAATTCCTTTTAGCACTATGGTCAATCTTGATTACTCCAGAGTCAATATCAGTTATTTACTAGCCAGTTCTACATATTCTGTCACTAACATCGACCTTACGAGTAAAAATTTTACCCTAATATTTAATAAAACTATATTATAAAATATATCTTTATATTATGGTTCCTGTGGTCCTTGAAAAATTTTAGTAGTGGTAGTAAATTTAAATTAATGATAGAATATATTTTTATTTTATTTTAATGTCCAACTTTGTCGTCAGAAAGGTGGAATTTTCATGCATATATACTTTCTTTGGAGAGCAATTTTCAGTGGTGGCTACAGAAATTAAAATATAGACATTTGTTTTAGTTTCGTTACCACTTTTTATGACCTGCACTTTTTATGACCCATTTCATTACCCGCGAGAAGACTGCATATTTACAGTGATTTTCTCAAAGTGATTCTTGTGTAAATTTTATTTTAGCATTAAAAACTGTGTCCAAAGGTCTTCTTTTTGACTTACGGTGTCTCAAAATATAGTTTTTGTTTTATGTATTTATTTATTTTTTTCTAGTGGATTAAATATTATGCACTCTAAGAAAAATAGTTCAACCCTGTATCACCTTTTAAACCAAAATATAGTAAGAATTTCCTACAACCTATTAAATTCATTAAAGTGATTCATTTTTAAGAAAATTAACTTGGAAACACTTTAAGAAATAGATGCAATGAGATTCATAATTCTACATCTAAAATTTCAATCCTTAAAATTATTAATATAGTAATTTTTTATTTAATTTTTTTATATATATCAATTCAAAGACAATCAAAATTAAAATAGTTTAATTACAATTACAATGTTTAAATATAAAATTTGAATTTTTAAGTTTATGAAATTTATATTGCTGACTGATATATATATATATACTAGCTGTACCCTGCGTGCGTTGCAACGCTTTCAATTTGAATTTAAATTTTGTATTTAACTACTTTTTCCAA